TGGTCCAACATCGCCTCCAAGACCGGCATCCAGTACAGCAGAACCATGTGACTCTCCTGTTCAGGACCTCGGCTGGCAGTCTTCCCCGTACAGAGCTGACAAGAGTCTACCCCTAACCCACATGTCGTGTGGCTTCCTGCTCAGGACTCAGGTTCAACGTGACCTCTGAGGCTCACGGCCCCGACTCGGCTCACATTTAATTCTGTTCTGTCCCTCGTGCTGGCCTGTGTTTGTTTTTAGTGGCATACGCACCTGTCACCTTATCTTATATATTACCCCTTCAGGCCCAGCGAAGTACAGGGTCAGAGGTTAGAGGTCACAGGAAGAGGTCTGGCTCTGCCCTAGCAATACTATGTATACTATTTGTACATAACATATTTAGCTAATATATAAATTTATCTACTCGTGTATGCCTGTCCTAGTGTATGCTGTTGGTCGTCCCTTTTTAAAGACTGCATCTCCATCGCCGTCCGTCAGCTTGACAGGAAACGAGGGCGTTTTGACCTTTGGTCTCCTGTGAGGAGGCTTTTTGATTGGAACAAACTCGATTAGTCGCAGGCAGCGCTGACTGACTGGTTCAGTAGGACCTGGGGTCATCCCTTCAAACGCGCAGAGCGGCTGTTTCCTTTCAGAATAAAACTTCTATAGCCGGATACAGAGTAGGGATGCCGACCGTTCAAAAGAGTGAAGATGTTTCCAGAACTTCCTTTCTGAGCCATCCACACTGAAGAGGTGGCTTTTAGGTTTGTTTTAGAGTACGGCCCAGTCACAGTTTTTATGTCGGCTCGTAAACAAAATAAAATGAAAGTCCCGTAATGTTCCCAGACAGACATCCTGTACTTGGGTGGGCGTCCGTATGTTTCCACAGGTCTGTTCATGTCTGAGCGCTGATGCAGAGCGGCACTTCCATGGAGTAAAGCTAAAACGAGCTCTGTTCAGGTCTGTCAGGATTGTAGACCTCTGCCCCGGTGTTCCAGTTGCTCAGTCTGATGGTTTCATTGTTTTAATCCAGATTTTTTAACGTGTGTGTGTGTGTGTGTGTGGGGGGGGGGGGGGGGGGGGGGGGGGGGGGTTCATTGTAATAAACATTTCTCACCTGTCCTGTCCATGGAAGGTGGCTCCAAACCATTTCACATTGTTAATGCAATAAATCAGGTTTAGCGAACTCGAGGTCGGTCTGTTTTTCGGGACTTTATTAAATAGTTTTGACCTTTTATGGAATGATTAACTCTTTCATTCATGATTTTAGAAGGCTATCACTTCTATTTGCATTTAACTCTAAAGGTCCTGTATCATTCAAACTCCTCTCTTTGGAGCTTTGATTGTGTTTTCCTAATGAAGAATCTCCCTGGAGCGGTTTTTGGCTTCATGCGTACGGTTTCCTGTCTCAGCTGCAGATCCTCTGCTGATCTACAAAGTAGCTGCAGACAGCTGGATGGGGTTGTTGCTGCATCATCATGACCCGCTCCTCCCCATCCAGGAAGTCTGGAGTCCCTCCTGCCCTGGACTGTCAACACTAACACTCGGTCTCTCTGTGTAGCTAGCAGGGAGTTTAATCTCCACAGTTGTGAAGAAGTGAGCTCGTCTGCACTTAAAAGTGACTGTGCGTATTTTTCCTTGCAATAGGGGGCAGTAGACAGCTAAATTGTTGCAAGCAAGCTGTATTTTTGTGGTGGAGTAAGACCTTACCAACGGATGCCCATTAGGGGCAAAAAACCCTGGGGAGTGCAAACTTCAGAAAGTTTAACAAGCACACCAGACTCCCTTTCATCACTGGCAACTGCTGAAGAGGTAAAAGTGTAAAACAACGTTTATGAATGTTGAAAGTTGTGTAATCGTTTGTTACAAATCAGTAAATGCATTTTTGCCCTCATGGGCTCCCGTAGAAGGAAACATGGCGTCTAATATGTCATCGCCTGAAGACTTGGACCCACTCACACGTAGACCTGATTTTTATGGTTATATGTAAAGAAGCCGCCAATATTTTTCTACACCTGGGCATCATTTATTTCATTTTCAACAACATTTTGATGGATATTTCCAGATTAAGGATAAAAACTACACATTGTCCCTTTAAATAAAGTTTAGAACCCAAAACGGGGTTTTTGTCTGCAAGAGGAACAGGATCGCTGTCCAGCCTTCCTGACGAAGAGCACAAACGACCACACAGATACAAACCGCTGGAGAGGTGTCATCTCGTCTTTGAGCAGGTCCTACAATTACCCAACATATAGAAATTAAGAGCATTACAGAATCAAACGCCTAACAGGTGTGCAGGTCTACGATACCCGTGGTGGCTGGCAAAGCGAAGTCGTCTCAACAAGGTGAGCGATAGGACTACTGGTGGGCCCCTCAAATCCACACGGCTGGTCAGCCAGATACCCCGGGCACTGCTGCTGGAGGCTGATGGTTGCAGGTTAAAACTGGTTTTGGAGAAGGGTGGTTCAACGCTGCTAGTCGTGTTCTATTGGGAGATCTGCTGGATCTCACAAGAGGTGGTGTTCAGCATTTTGACTGGAATTCAACATCAGAGGAAGTGTCTCCCTATTTTAAGAGTCCGTGTTGGACCAATCAGAGGCCAGAAAATGTAGGAGGCGTTAACAAAGTCCCTTGACGTCACATCTAACAGACCCAGTGAAAGAAATAATTTCAGTTGACATGTGGTCTAAGTATGATCTAACTGTCATTGTGAATACACTTGTGATGAGCGGGCGACGCTTGGGCCCGGCGGGATTCGATCCCGGGTGAGAGTCACCCAAAGGGACATCCCCATGGTCAAGCAGCCAGGGCGCAGGATGCTCACCTGTCACCTACTGATGTTAAAATGTGACATAACTGATATTAAAATCATCATTAACTCATCAGTAGATTCGTTTGTGTATTTAAGATCTGAAATAACGCATTTCAACAATAAACAGTTATTCTACTGGCATTGCTTTGGTCTTTTCAACGCTACACCAGCAGAGGGTTTCCAGACCCTCCTGGTCCGGTTCTGCTGATCCTGTGGGAATGGTAGCCTCATGTTTCTGTTCTTAGCTGACAGGAGAAACAGCTGGAGTGGTCTTCTGCTGCCGGAGTCCATCTGGAGCAGCTGGTGTGCTTCTGCAGGCCTTGGTAGAAACCAGAGCTGCTGTTGGCTTTCTATCATCTAGAACCAGGCTGACCTCTGACCCTAGAGATGGTTGTGGGTTCAAATCTCAGCAGATAAGGAGGTTCTGACACCCTCAGACCCGCCCGTCTGGTACCAACAACCCATTTGAGTACCTCTTCTCTGCTCTGATGCTCACTGAACATCTAGATGAATAAGTGCTACTCTCTGATTGGCTGATTAGATATTTGCGTTAAAGAACAGATGTACCTAATAAAGTGTCTGACATAACTATCTGTTAATAATTTAATTATTTAAATGCACAACTTTAATAACGATGAATAATGTAGGTACTTCCCCTCATGCAGCACCAAGATCATCCAGCAGATGGCAGAAGACGTGGGAAGCTTGTGAGGGACGAACTAATCCCGGTGAAGAGGAAGTCTTATTAGATATGATATGCTGTAAATCCTCTAATACAGGCCGGTATTCAATTAAAGGCCGGGTCTCCAATTTTGGCCGGAGTCGGCGGAGGTGAACAAAGGCCGGTCTCTTATTGTGGCCGGGTGGAATGTGGTAACAAGCAAGTACGGGGGTGGTTGTGTCATCGTCTCACTTTTGATTAGCCAGTGATAGACCGCGAGGGTAACTTTAACCGTGCGGAGACGAAGAGGAGGCGACAATTTGATATCAAGTTCAAAGAGAACGTGCTGATTATGCTGCAGAACTCTGGGGAGCAGTAGCAGGGGTTGTATGAACTAGTCACTAGTCGACTTCACTATAGTGACTTTTTATGCCTGTCATCGACTAGTCGCTGTCACGTGATAATGACCGGCAAGATGCAGTCCACGGAAAAGACAGCAGCCTGCTGTCAGCAGGTGACAAGCTCCTGCGCTCGGGGGGGCTACATAGGTACTGACACGCGATCGTTCATGTCGGTTCATTTCCTTTGATGTTTTCTGTCTTTTGTTTGCGCCTGATGTGTTTCGCTGCTGTGGAGCGGGGCGCATCGCCTTGTCCTCCGACGCACCGATCACTGATGCGGCCACCAAGCAGGGAGCGCTCCGCTGTTTTTGCGGTCGGTAGATCTGCCTCCTGAGCACGGCCACAGTAACAATCAGGTGTTGCCAAATTATTTAACACGCGATCGTTCATGTCGGTTCATTTCCTTTGATGTTTTCTGTCTTTTATTTGCGCCTGATGCGTTTCGCTGTGGAGCGGGGCGCATCAACTTGTCATCCGGTGACGCACCGATCACTGATGCGGCCGGCAAGCAGGGAGCACTCCGCTGTTTTAGCGGTCGGTAGATGTTTTAGAACTGCAGTTCAATGGTAACTCATAAGGTGAATATATATGAACCCAGGTAGCAGTTTCTCTTTAGGATTGAGAGGAGATGCAGGAAGATAATAAACAGGCAGGACAGAAAAATAGTCAAATAAAAACAAGTTAGTTTTTGTACCTGCTGGTTGCAACAAACAGACACCATTGAAGGTAATCAGAAGTGAGGAACAGAAAATGAAATAATTATTTTAATGTTTAGAGAAGCAGGAACTCCGAGAGGCTGCAGGCGCATCAGTGAGTTTGCGGCCGCTGCGCGGGGGGAGGGGGGAGGGGGGAGGGCTGAAGCAGAAACTACCGATGTTAAAAGAAATGTGTTTAACTTTGGAAATGTGGACGCAATTTTAATTGTCAAAACTCCAGCGAACCATTAGTTCATTTTGCTCAAATAGAAATAGAGGCCTGCCTCTAATTCTGGCCCTCCTTCCAATAAAGGCCTGGAGCTTGATGAGCTTGAGTCAAATACAGGCCTGGGCCTTTATTAGAGGATTTACGGTGATTTATTTATTTTGATCCTGATGAAGGAAACCCAGAGCTGTCAAAAGGTTTTAGCAACAAAGCTGTTGCGTTAGTTTGGTCTCTGTCGTGGTTTTATTCGGACTCAGGAGTGTTTGTCCCTCACAGCATAGTCTGTCAGTTTTAATTTGAGAAACTTTAACACGATTAATGTATTTCTGAAGTGGCGCAGGAGCTCTGTATCAGAACGATTCAACGTCTCTGAATCAACAATCTTTTCTTTGGGGATTTTAATTACGTTTATAAAGCAAAACAAACATGAACTTATAATTCTGGTAGCCTAGTGAACTAGACCAGAAGTTCTAGTTGGAATTGTGAAAATTTACACAGTGTTTCTAATACTTACGGTAATCCATTTGTTTGTTTTTTTCTACCTCTTGCTTGTAGGTGTTTTACGGTAACAGATGACATCACCGCACAGTTACGCCCATTGATAAAAAAGAGGGACAGAGCCACAAAAACAAGTATTTGGGTTCGGGCTGCTGCTGGAGAGCCACCGGAAGTGTCTGCTGACGGAAACCATAAAGCAGCTAAATAAACATCTCTGGGTTTGTGCTCATCCTACCGGAAACCGTGAGCAACAGCTGTTAAACCTTTAAGGTGGGTGATGCGCGTGAACACACTGAAACAAAGTCCGTGAACGTCGCACGGCTAGCTAAGCAGCATTGTGATGAGCTAGCTACTAAGTTAATTTAAATGGATGTTTAAGCTGAAAATAACGCAAAAACACCTGCTGCGCGGTCAGAGAGAACCAGCTGAGTGTACTCCGCGCTGTCGCGTCTTTTTGTTGAAGTTGAAGTTCATAAAAGTCCGGAATTTTCCTTTTCTTTACGGATTGTTGTCAGGCGCGCGGTGGGGGTGGGGGCAAAGCAAGGGGTCATGGGGTTAGCGCGCTGTGTGTGTGTGTGTGTGTGTGTGTGTGTGTGTGTGTGTGTGTGTGTGAGAGAGAGAATGTCTTACATCCGCTGTGTGTTTTAACACGGAGACATTTTGAAATTGCGGGAACGTTTTCCAGGTCCTCACAGGGAAAACCCTACTTCATGGTTTTAGAGGTATGTGATGGTTGGGGTTAGGCAAGTGTGGAGTCACACACATCTCAGTGAAGGGTCCTCACAAGTCCAAATATACCAACGTGTGTGTGTGTGTGTGTGTGTGTGTGTGTGTGTGTGTGTGTGTGTGTGTGTGTGTGTGTGTGTGTGTGTGTGTGTGGGAGGGCTTAATTGTAATACAGGTGCTGGTCATAAAATTAGAATATCATGTGGATTTGTTTCAGTAATTCCATTCAAAGAGTGAAACTTGAATAATAGATTCATTCATTACTCAGACTGATACGTTTCCAACGTTCATTTCTTTGATTATAAATGACAACTAATAAAATCTGTGGAAAGCATGGAGCACTTTTCCTGATGGCTTAGCAGAGAAAAGTGGTGTTTTTGGTTGGATGCTAGTGGCGGGCAGCTGGTTGGGTGACGTTACTCTCAGCTGTAAGTCACAGGTTAGGGCTGGAATGACTGAGTATTTGTTAAAACACCCGTTTTTGTCAAATTGCACATTTTGGACTTGGCTTGTTTTGAACTTCTGGTAAACAGAAGATGTAGGTCATTCAGTGTGCTTTAAATATTAGTCGTACTTATCACAAGTAAAAGTGTTATTGATAAATGAGCTGCTCTTGAAGAGCACCGTTCTGAGTCAGAGGACTCCGGAGTGCTTTACAGAACAGCGAGTCATTCATCCATTCACACACCAGCCGTGAGTCCTCTGTGAAGTCTCTGGTGAGGGTGACGGGGAGTCTGGGCTGTCTCCGTCCTCTCAGCTGTTGTGTCTCCACACAAAATCACCCTTTTCAAGACTTTACTGAGATGCCAGCATATCACGACTGTTTAGACGGTGTGTGATGTCACACAGACATTAACAACATCAAAAGTTGTATTTTGTTATAGTTTAGTCCATTTGGGGAGTGGGGAGAGCAGCGGTGGGAGTGAAACGCAGCATTCGGTGACCTGGAGCGATGAACCCCATAGCGTTGTGGTGGGAGTTTAGAAACAGAGATATTAATGCTGCTTATTTCCTTTTCCTTCCATTCTACTTCACCAGCAACTGCTGGTTTATCAATGTCTGCTGATGTCATTTCCTACCGAGTTACAACCAATCAGCATGAGTTAACCACAAGTCCCACCCAGCAACTCTACCAGGCCCTTTCCTCACCCTAGTCCAGGTACCTGGTTGGCTCCTGAAAGGGCCTGGAAAGTGGTCGTTTTAGGCCAGCCTGGTGACATGTAGACATGCTGTGAAGGTCTGGTGGAAGTACCCAAAAGATCTGGTTGAGGTGAAGCTTGTTCCCAAACTTAGTCAAGGTAACACATCCACCACACTTCACGTATCAAATGTGGCCTTTGCAGGTGATGCTAGCTCTTTGTAATACCCATCTTTAGATCAGAGAAGACGGCATCTTAAATCTTTGTGTCTGCAGAAAATTCAATGCTGCCACGGCTTTAGTGTGGCGGTGGTGTTATCATCCGTTTATCCTTATCCAGGTGAACGGGTCCGTGTGTGGCCCAGCCGCAGCCTTTCTGCAGTTTGGCTGCTGTGATTGGTCAGCAGAAATGTTTGTACAGCTGCTGTTTCTGGGCCCTTCCAAAACTGTGATCTAGTTACTGCATAATTTATCGTTGATGCAGTAAATGACCAGATCAGCTGGTTGTGTGCGTGTGTGTGTGTGTGTGTGTGTGTGTGTGTCCCAATACCAGCAGCAGGGTCATCCAGATAGTCTCTGATGTTTGCATTAGGGACAAATTCCAGTCACATTGGGCAGATCCAACTGGACCGTCTGGAGTCATATCTGACTTTGTAACAACTCAAAAATCAACGTTATTTTGATGCAGTTGCCACAAAACCAAGGGGCAGCCATTTTTTTGGATCTGGTGAAGCAACACGGGAGGGACCAACATTTCAGTTCCACCCTCCTCCAGCCCAGTGGCCGGTGGTATACCTCCCAGCCAGGCACTCTGCTTTAAAGATGTTGGATCGGGTGGTTTAATCTTCCCGAGCGCGGCCGTGTCTGCAGCTCACCGCTCCCCACGGGGAAGGGTCAAAAGTAGCGGGTGCGGCTGCTAATACAGTAGCAGGTGCAGCTGCTAATACAGTAGCAGGTGCGGCTGCTAATGCAGTAGCAGGTGCGGCTGCTAATACAGTAGCAGGTGCGGCTGCTAATACAGTAGCAGGTGCAGCTGCTAATACAGTAGCAGGTGCAGCTGCTAATACAGTAGCAGGTGCGGCTGCTAATGCAGTAGCAGGTGCGGCTGCTAATACAGTAGCAGGTGCGGCTGCTAATACAGTAGCAGGTGCGGCTGCTAATGCAGTAGCAGGCGCGGCTGCTAATGCAGTAGCAGGCGCGGCTGCTAATGCAGTAGCAGGCGCGGCTGCTAATGCAGTAGCAGGCGCGGCTGCTAATGCAGTAGCAGGCGCGGCTGCTAATGCAGTAGCAGGCGCGGCTGCTAATACAGTAGCAGGCGCGGCTGCTAATACAGTAGCAGGCGCGGCTGCTAATACAGTAGCAGGAGCGGCTGCTAATACAGTAGCAGGCGCGGCTGCTAATACAGTAGCAGGTGCAGCTGCTAATACAGTAGCAGGTGCAGCTGCTAACACAGTAGCAGGTGCAGCTGCTAATACAGTAGCAGGTGCAGCTGCTAATACAGTAGCAGGTGTAGGTGCTAATACAGTAGCAGGTGCAGCTGCTAATACAGTAGCAGGTGCAGCTGCTAATACAGTAGCAGGTGCAGCTTCTAATACAGTAGCAGGAGTAGCTGCTAATACAGTAGCAGGTGCAGCTGCTAATACAGTAGCAGGAGTAGCTGCTAATACAGTAGCAGGAGTAGCTGCTAATACAGTAGCAGGAGTAGCTGCTAATACAGTAGCAGGTGCAGCTGCTAATACAGTAGCAGGAGCAGCTGCTAATACAGTAGCAGGAGTAGCTGCTAATACAGTAGCAGGAGTAGCTGCTAATACAGTAGTAGGTGTAGGTGCTAATACAGTAGCAGGAGCAGCTGCTAATACAGTAGTAGGTGTAGGTGCTAATACAGTAGCGGGTGCAGCTGCTAATACAGTAGCAGGAGTAGCTGCTAATACAGTAGCAGGAGTAGCTGCTAATACAGTAGCAGGTGCAGCTGCTAATACAGTAGCAGGAGTAGCTGCTAATACAGTAGCAGGTGCGGCTGCTAATACAGTAGCAGGTGCAGCTGCTAATACAGTAGCAGGTGCAGCTGCTAATACAGTAGCAGGTGCGGCTGCTAATGCAGTAGCAGGTGCGGCTGCTAATGCAGTAGCAGGTGCAGCTGCTAATACAGTAGCAGGTGCGGCTGCTAATGCAGTAGCAGGTGCGGCTGCTAATACAGTAGCAGGCGCGGCTGCTAATGCAGTAGCAGGCGCGGCTGCTAATGCAGTAGCAGGCGCGGCTGCTAATGCAGTAGCAGGCGCGGCTGCTAATACAGTAGCAGGAGCGGCTGCTAATACAGTAGCAGGCGCAGCTGCTAATACAGTAGCAGGTGCAGCTGCTAATACAGTAGCAGGTGTAGGTGCTAATACAGTAGCAGGTGCAGCTGCTAATACAGTAGCAGGTGCAGCTTCTAATACAGTAGCAGGTGCAGCTGCTAATGCAGTAGCAGGTGCAGCTGCTAATACAGTAGCAGGAGTAGCTGCTAATACAGTAGCAGGAGCAGCTGCTAATACAGTAGCAGGTGCAGCTGCTAATACAGTAGCAGGAGCAGCTGCTAATACAGTAGCAGGAGTAGCTGCTAATACAGTAGCAGGTGTAGGTGCTAATACAGTAGCAGGAGCAGCTGCTAATACAGTAGCAGGTGTAGGTGCTAATACAGTAGCAGGAGCAGCTGCTAATACAGTAGCAGGTGCAGCTGCTAATACAGTAGCAGGAGCAGCTGCTAATACAGTAGCAGGAGCAGCTGCTAATACAGTAGCAGGAGCAGCTGCTAATACAGTAGCAGGTGTAGGTGCTAATACAGTAGCAGGAGCAGCTGCTAATACAGTAGCAGGTGTAGGTGCTAATACAGTAGCGGGTGCAGCTGCTAATACAGTAGCAGGAGTAGCTGCTAATACAGTAGCAGGAGTAGCTGCTAATACAGTAGCAGGTGCAGCTGCTAATACAGTAGCAGGAGTAGCTGCTAATACAGTAGCAGGTGCAGCTGCTAATACAGTAGCAGGAGTAGCTGCTAATACAGTAGCAGGTGCAGCTGCATATTTTTGCAATAAAAATGTTATGTTGTAATGGAATTCATGCATTAGTTTTGTTTGCTTTGAACCCAGAGCAGACGTCACACGCCAGACGACATCAACACTGCATACTTTAGTATTTGTTCATTTATCGTGAGTAAAATCGATATCGCAATATTAAGCAGTGTTATCGAATATCGCAGGTTTTCCTAATATCGTGCAGCCCTAGTTTTCAGCAATCTTCATACTAAGCAAGCATGCAGCGACAGTGGAGAGGAAAACTCCCTTTTAACAGGAAGAAACCTCCAGAGGATCCTGGCTCAGTATAAGCGGCCATCCTCCACGACTCACTGGGGATGGAGAAGACAGCGCGCACG